CCAAGCCGCCAAGAAATCCTGGTACCTATCACTTCTCGAACTTACTGGAAGGCATACGAGGGTACAGTTACACATAGAGTGAATTACAATTTTTCAATTGCAATACTAATTACAGTTATATAGGGACCGGACCCAAATGACTCCCAAAATTGGCGTCTTTTGGCAATTTCTCACCAAATTTGGCTACAAAATTTACTCGTTAGCTTCGCGATAGCCATTTACTCAATGATAAATAGACTAGCCCCTGAAATCCTATTTTTCGACAGAGTATCGTCTCTTTCTAGCATTTCATGCTTCATTATACTAAAAAAATAGCAAATCAAACAGTAAGCCAATAAATAAGCGCACGAATTCATAGATTTGTATACAAATCGGACCATGGTCTTAGTATGTTATTTACATTATATACACTATAGGGACTATGGCCACAGTAAGGGGCTAACTTGTCGTAATGAGCCTTAATCGTAATGACCTGTTTTCCAAACATGTTCCATATATGCTGGATAGGAACCGATCCAATGATCCGGGTGGCCATTCTTCATGTGGAATTACTTTGTATATGAAGTGTATTTCTGGTTCACTAGTACTAGCAGACAGTGCCAGCGTTGTGAACTCGTGCATGGGCTGGGCGTTTTCGTGGTTTTCCCCATGTGTAATGTGTATACGAGCCAGTTTCCCTTAGAAAGTCCTTCACGAAGGCATATCTCCTCTTAGGCAGATAGCCCTCGAGGCTTTGCCATAATCTCACACACACACACACAAAGACTAAATTTTGTCTTTTAATCTCTCATGCGCATTTATCTGAAGTCCGAACAATGGGAAGCATTTATTCTATTGCAGTATGATTAATCTCTGCCTAACTCAACAAACCACCGATTTTGTTCGCGTGTATTGCTGTTACTGAAGTGTTAACGAGTTTTAAGAACTTTCCAAGCTAATAAAAAATGATACACAGTGGGGTAAGATAATCTATAACTCGGTCTTTAAATTCGGAAAAAGGAAATTCGAGAAAGACGTTTGCTATTATTATAGCAAACGTGTAGCATACTTCGAAGCATAACAAAATGAACATTTTGGATCCCATAATACATCCCCCCTCCGTTTTTTAAATAGAAACTGCGAAAACTCTGCCGCAGTTCCTAGTCGAACCTGTCGTAGGATAGTATTTGATATGATCTACAATCCTTTTATTTTGATAATTTTGACTATTTTTCACGGTATACGTGATGATGTCAAGTACATGCATGATGAGTACATATTTAACATTTTGTAAATAATAAAAAAGTTTTAAATTATACTAGTAAAACTTGCACTTGTACAACGTTCTTCATAGAAGGATAAGAACAAAGAAAAATAGAACCTTTTAGTTTAGTTCTGAGTACTACTGTTTGAAAGTGGATAATCAATATTTGTCACAAAAATTGGACAAGTTTGAATTTTTCTCCGATTTTTGGGGATTTCGGTCAAAATAATCTTTATTATAAAGTAATGTGATGTTCTTGAAACAGTCCTATGTTTAACGGCATGTGCCTTTAATATTTATTTATTTTAAGATATAATTTTAATAGCATACGAAAACCACACTTTAGCTCTGTAAAGAACATTTGTCAGACTGAACATGAAAAAAAGTTAATTCTTCTACGAAAACATATCATAAAACTAACTGGATGCTTTGAAAAGCATCTAAAGGGTGAATATCGGAAATAATCCTGTTTTAAACACAAATTTAATAATGCTTTCAAATCAGAATACAAACTTTTGAAAAATATAGTTATTTGTTACAGATTTCAGTTTATTTCAAGCGCTATAAATCTTTAATAGCGAAACATCGAGAACGTCTGACAAAAGCGCACTATCGAACAAAGCGCAGAAAAACGGATGTTCACTCCTGTTGCGAAATTAAGGTGTGCTACTCTCATATGAATCTAAGAGCATCTAGAAAAACTGAGGCTTCGAAATTAGTACAAGAATTCATCATATCCTCTCTAGCAAGGTCAAACATGTATAAAAAAGCTTTCGAGGGTATACAGAAATGCAATTTCAACTTAAAGTCAGCTAAAGATGCTTTGGCAATAATTACCAAATTATTTAGGCGGCAATATAATCTTATTAGAATGAGCAAACTCGACGGATTTACATCATATAAAGTTCTGCAAAATGCTACTCTCAAAAAGGGCAAATGACGATATTTTCAACCTCAGGAGAGGTTCTGTTATAAGCACTTTTGAACTATAATGTTGAAAGATTGATAATTGTGAAAAAAAGTGTTATAACTTAGCCTAAGAACTAAAAAAATGTTCTTGCACTAATTTTGACTTTGGGGATTCGATGGCTCTTCAACAACTAGTACATACAAACAAATTTGTCTGCAGTGTTTCCGAAATCTATTGCACACCTTCATTTATTTTGTGACCCTGAAAGCAGCAATTTTAAAATAGTTTGCAACATTTTTTCTAAGCTTCTACGAAGGACCGTTGGCCTTTAAAAATATGTAGAAACATTAGGATAATTGGAAAAGCCGGAGAGATGAAACATTATCAACTGCCTTCGCCGGGAATTGAACCACAGACCTCTGGAATACCGGCCCAGCGTGCAGAACCACTACACCACGAAGGCACGCTAGGAAAGCGGGAGAAATACTTTACAAATAGAGTTCTTTAACAATTATAAAAAATTTCTGCAAAAGAAAAAAAAATAGAGTAGTTGCAAAAATCAAACATATGTGTAACAGTAATCTGAAGTACAACAGAAAATGAATTTCGATAAGTAGTAATTTAATTTTTTCAGAGATTGATGGTAAGGTTTGAAATTCTGTCTTTGATACTTTTATCTAAACGATAATGCTATATTTGCGATACAAGTGTAGAAAATTTGGAAAATTTCTGAAAGAAGCTTTAGATTTATAGGTACCTCCATCTCTATAAGAACAGGTCCCAAATATATTCTGACAATATTGATGAAGATGATGATTAGGACACTTTTTTTCATTAAACTTTTATATTGTGCTAAGCAATTGCTACTCAAAAAATTAATTTTTGATAACTTTTGTGTAAAAATTTAGTTTATATTTTTATTAATAACGAAAATGATAAAAAAAGACTTTTTCTCTGGATTTTCTGTTTTGTAACAATTGTAAATTTTGTAGTTTACTTTAGTTTATATATAATTAAGTACTTAAAAAGGTGTTATTTGCTTTAGTTATAGATGAAATACTATTTAAAATTAACTGTGTTAAATAAGTTTTTAAGCCTTCTAGAATTTAAAACCTCGCTTTAAGATCTCTTGTCGCACTGAACGTCGGGAATCGGCCTGTATATCGAAATGCAACTCATCCGTAAAAAGCACAGTACTCTATTGCGCTGACTTCCGACTGTCGCAAGCTCCTTTCGAAATGACTTGTTACTTAACATTATTTAGCATGATTCGGATGATTTTTTCTACTCATTTTTTAAAATATGGCTACTTCGATTTTTATTCTAACGTCTGTAACGCAGAGATACTTAAGAGATTATTAGACCGAATAAATATTGCTTTGGTCAAAGCATATCCCTATGCTAATTTTATTGATTTTTCTGTTATGAAATATAGGAACTGAATTTTGACTTGTAATCATTTCATGTACATATCTGTTAACTTTCCAAAACAGTTTGCCGAATTTAGATTGCTTTTATTCTAAGCGTGATTAATTTTATAAAATTTTATTGGAGTACGAAAACAATTAAAATTATTTTTTGTTGGCATATAAAAGGCATTTTTACATTTTAAGATATTCAAGATGGCCAGTCAGTGCAGAGAACATATATACTTAAATTGAAAACAGAAATTATTTATTCATATCAAGTAAAGATGCAATATTTCTCCCTTCCCCCACCCATGAACTCCTTCGAATGAACCTACACCATGATGAACTCCTTCGAATTATAAATTGGTTGACAAATTCAAATTGTCACTTGCAAAAGCGATTTGATTGTAGCAAAAACCTCTTGTGACCTTATACTTGATGAGAAAATATAATTCGTCTCTTAGGAGAACCACAGCAGCACAACCTTTCTCTGCGCGACTTTAAAAAAATGACCATTAAAATTTATTTGCAATCGCTCCTGATCTGAGTATCAGTCTTGTCCAAATCTATGATGAAGACTGAGACTGAATCAAAATTTAAGACGAAACAATGAAACCGTTCTGTGCACTGGACACTAGTGCATTCAATATTAATTTAGGGAAAGTTAAGAAGTCTTGTTTTCATAAATTGGAAAAAAACTCCCAACAAATAACTTTTTAAATTTGTTTACATTGTCTTCTTTATTATAGCGTGGTCAAACTGATAATTATAAAGTTTAAAAAAAGAGTTTAAAGTCATTCTATTTACGTAACTAAAATGACAGTCGGATTAAAACAGTTCTTTTTTTTTTTTTTTTTTTTTTTTTTTTTAATAAAAATCTGAAAAATCCCCTAACCTCTTTTTTTTTTTTTTTTTCCTTTAAAATATTAGAACCAAATATCTTCCTATCGGTTATAAGAAAATTAAAAATAAATCTGAAAGTACTTTTGTATAATGAACGGGAGCAGCTTCAGATCGTCGACAGGGCTGAACGCGGACCCAATTCTCTAGGCCGTTTCTCAGCGGCATCCTTTTGAAAAACAAATTCATCGAAGAAATGAGATCATTAAGAAAAAGTTCCCGAATGTCTTTAAACGGTCTACGAAGTTTTTAATTGCTCGATTTAATTCTTTCGAAAGAGTAAACACTTCGGGCAGGATAATATTGAGATGATGAATCTCTTTCTTTCTTTCTTTCTCCCCCCACTAGTGCTGGCCTGAATTTTCAATGGAAAGAGTTGTACTACAACTCTACGGAAGCTTCGAATGAGCCTTTATTTTCGCGAACACGAAGGTCGGGGTTGAACGTCATGGCCATCTAACCAACCGTAACCGCCGGCACCATAATGACGTCACGAGATCTTCTTCGTTACGTCACTAGGAGACGGTTTTTCAACCGCGGCGGACAAACGGCGGGTTTCGCAGTTCTCAGTCCCACTTCGGCGGCTGCGTATGTGTGTTTGTCGGACGCTTGTTTGAAGATTTTATTTTCCTCTTTGCGATTTTAAATGCGTTGCTTTCATCTTTAGTTTTGAAAGCTGGCGTAGTAAAATATTGTGCTCTTCGCTACATTGGTAAAAATGTGATATTGTTGTTTTTTACATCCAAATGAGATTGAGAAGTTTTCATCACCGGTGCTTTCTAACTCTGTTATTTTATGGAATAGCGTGTGAATGTTTCGGGAAGAACCAGGAGTGCTAAAGTTGATCGGATATTATAAATTTTAAACTAATGCAAAATCAGTTTTTCATTCATTAGTTTGTGATTTGCCTCCGATATTCTCTGCTGAATGACTGATTATCACCTAGTTGGAATGGTCATATTTGACTGTAAGCAAGTGTATTGCTCTTTTCCACGTATCAGATGGTGTTAAAATAATTATCGTTCATCTAACCGAACTATAAATGCAAATTATCATGTGAAAAGACATGCTTAAATAGTTTTTCTGTTGACCATGGCTGGATTCTTCTGCGAAAATGTTACGTGAATCTGATGCGAAATCAAGCTTTAATAGGCTTAATATTTTGATAAATTAAGTGCCTGAAGAGCGGTAAAACTGGCGAATTCGGTAGTCAAAAGGAGTGACAGTATGACCAAGCTCCGTAGGTCGGGTTCTATGGATTTTGGCAATTCCAGTATGGCTAACGTGCTGGATGTAGCCAAGGCTCTTTGTCTTGCTTGCAAGCAAAGAAGCAAACCCAAAAGGAGCTTCAGTCTTTTTCAAATAAAGGTAAGACGCATCTTATCGAGTTATTTTTGTGCATTTTTAAACATAAAAAACTATAAAATAATCATACAGTTTGATATAAAAGCTTTCATGTATAGAAAACACTTTTTGAAATCAGAGGTTTTATTATCACGTGGGAACGGTATAGCAAACTAAATCTGAGTATAATTTAGTGGAATATTTTAATTTTCTAAAGGGAACGCTGCAATAAGTCATTATTATTGTCAGTTTTAAATACTTTAGAAAGTTTTTATTTAGATTCGAAACTCGAAAGATTACTATGCTTTACTAATGACTTTCTTCGACTTTTTCTACTTTCGACTAGTTATAATAGATATCATTCAGATGTGTATGCTGTTTCTTTAGAAATATGTTAGAAGCCTTATTGCGCTGCGGTATATAGCTAGGAGATATTTTCGAGATGCTCTTTTCTCTAAGGGAATTTGTAGCGAGATTTATGAAGTTATTCTTGTATCTCTTAATCGTTCCTCGTTTATTGAGAATAATTTAGTTTCACGCCTTCTTTAAGCAAGCATGTATGTATATTTGTACATTATTCTTATGTTATGGAAGTAAGACTTGTCAAATTTAAGAAGCAAATATTAGAATTCTCGTAAACTGGAGCATCAAGTAGTAAGTACTACTTTGCGACATCACTTCGCTAATTTCCAAATTAAGTATGGTAATTAAACGTGGCTTTTAATTTTCTGTTTGCTTCTTTTCAATAAACTGAAGCACGAGGCTTTTATATCATTAAAGACTAGATGGTTTCAGTCGTAAGTCTTAAATCACTTACGACTGAAACCATCTAGTCTTTAATTTTAAATGGAGTAAAGCCTCTTCTGCTGATCAGTTACTTCCAACGCATTAGGGGTATCCCAACAGAAAATACTTTTTTATGACTGCGCCTTGGTGTAAGTCCATATTTCAGTTTAAAAATACCAGTTTGGAGAGCTAATATAATTCAGTCTATATAACAAATACTTTTCTGGTATTCTTTCCTAATTTGTATTTTTCCGCTTTTTGGTAATATGTATGTCTTAATGATTCTACATATTCGCTTGCTGGAAAAATTGCCATGGTAATGAATTCATTGCCTGAAAAAAGGGAAAAAGGAGCTGAATTTCGTATTTTCTATAAAATTTTATAAACTTTCAGTCATTTTACTGAAATGTGTAATATATTTTTCAGTTGAGAAGCCTAAAAACACAAATTCCAGTGCACATTATTTAAAGAGTGAAAGAAATAAAGAAATTGAAAATAATATAACTATATTAAAAAAAAGCAGTTGAAGGTGATGAATTTTTTTAACTGTAATGCATATATTTATTTACATTTATTATCAGTTTTCCGGAACATAGATCTGGTGTTCACAATCCAGGTAAACTTATTGCATAAATATGCATAGTATAGCTTCAGTACGTTCTCTCTTTATCATATGATAAAATGGAATGAAAAGGTATCTTAACAGATCTCAAAAACTAAATTTTCATGCTTATTATTTTAGTTTAAAATAAGTTTCGTAATTTATATAATATGCCATTAAAGTGAACAATTTCTATCACATTTAATTAATATACAAAAGCTTCTTTTCTGCTGGAATGTAAAAGGAAAAGGCGTACAGTTTTATAAAAACAAACACAAAATCATTTATAAAGTATTGCTTCCATTGCACAAGAGGAAAAAATATGAGATAAAAATTTTTGTTACTGAGAACAATAAAATCTTTATTAATACATCAATTGTTATGTAAGTAGTGTATTTAAAAAAAACATTCTGAAGGAAAAGTGCTTTTTGATTTTTCGAATTTTTACAGCATATTTAGACTATATTTTAGAGCATATACTGAAATTTTTGTTTACGGTTTTATGAAAATTATAGAGAATAAGCTAATTTGAACGCAAAAGTCATGTTGTTGGTTTTAATAATTAACTAGAAAGGTTAACGGTAATATGAAACAGTGAAAAAAAATAAACATATAACAATGAGAAAAAATATATAACAGTGAGAAAAAATTGAAATAACATGAAACAAATGTTGCAAAAAATTAACGAACACTTTTGATATAAAATAAGCATTTGGCAGGAAATGGCATAATTAGTGGAGTATTCGTTTACAAATCGTTCCTTGTCGATTCTAGAATCGACTGCTCGTCGAAGTACATCTTTATTAAATCAGAAACTAATCGAAAATGGGGTGGAGAGGAGAATATATACTAAAAATAAAGCAATGACGCAAATAGCTTAATAGACTAAAATATTACATGATTCATTTTTAACTGAAATTTATGCTTCTAAACCATTCAAATTCTGGAAAACATATTCACAGAAAATGTCATTTTAGATTATGACATCATTTAACTGAAAGTATGCATCCATAGATTTTTTTTCATTAAGTAAAATTTTTTAATAAAAAGATCAATCAACACTGTTGGTATTGATAAGTAACGAAAACGATATCTGGTAATATCGCGAAATTCTTTCACTTCAGAAATCCAAAAATATTTCAAAACTAAATCTTGTAGTTTGAATTCTGGGACATTCTGAAGGAAAAGTGCTTAAAAATATATAAATAAAAAATAGTCTAATAATTATAACAGAAACTAAAAAATAACAAGAAAAATTCTATATACGTGTATTTTCTCTACACTTACGGAAAATGTTTGTTATTCGCGAAATCTTTGAAAGGTTGCTAATATTCGCGGAAATTCGTGATATCGCTCTACCTATAATAAATAATTAAATATAGAATTACAAATTAAAATTTATGCGCTGAATATTTCTACATTTGAGCAAACATAAACTTTTATAAACCACAAAGAACCAAATTATTATGTTTCTAAAAATTGAATGTTTAGCTCAGTTAATTCCAATTTCCTCTTTGGAATTTTTGCATTCATTTAAGGTAAACAGTGACGCTTATTTATTTTTTCCTCTGAGTACTGACTAATGGAATAAAGTAATTTCAACATTCTGAAATATTTTAATCTTTTTAACACGAGCGAATATATGGAATGTAGGAGTAGCAGTCTTTTCGTATTCCTTCCTGTTTGCCTGTAATGCTGGGAAGGACTTTGCTTCTTTTCGATTAAATAAAAATAAAAAAAGAGAAAATCTGAAAGAATTCAGATTTTAACTCCGTATCAGAGGTTTTTTAGAGTTAGGGTTTTTATGCTTTTGCTGAGTTCACAGTTTACCAGTCTGCTTTTGCATTCACTCCTGCTAACGGAACTTTGTCTCCTTTGTTAAATATCGTTTTCTTCGCTCTTACGCCCCAGAAAATTCAACAGCGAAATCATAAAATATTAAAAAAGAGCATTATGTTTAGAATTCCTGGTTAGAGTGTTAAAGGTTGCAATATTTTTTTTATATTCTTTATGTTATTTCTTTAAAAATAATACTTGGGAATAACATAGGATGGGAACATCCTTTTATTTGTGTTGCGATCCATTTTTTGTAATATTTGCTATATTATGTCTTGAAAAATTATATATGGCGATAATATTTGGAAAGTGATACGGACACAAAAATGATTCGGCAAAAAGTGAGATTCCAGACTTATAAGCACTTTGGTGTGGCGGAGTATTAATGGTGGTGTATTTATTGCTACCTTAAAAGGAAAAAATGGTAAAATAAAAGACTACAAAAAAAAGCAACGAAAAATCTTTGCGCTTCTGATTATGGAGGAGTAAATGATGACTATCAAACCACGCAAATTTCATTGAAATCACGATATTAGCTTCTACTCAGTAGCTCACCTAATTATATTTTGTGAGAAGTAAGAAGAATTTTAATGATGGATGTTTTAATGAGAGTGTCACAGCGTGACACGGAAACGCCCCACGGTGTGAAGCGGTTTCATCGCCTTTCTTTTTTACAACTCCCTTCCAACTCTTTCGTGCATTTCTGTGGGCGTCTTTCAGTACCAAGCATTGAAATCACACGGTATGAGAAAAATTAAAGGAAATCGTACAGTAGAAAAAGTATAGCGGTTTCAGAAATTGCAACACAAGAAAATATATCATCCTGCTATTCTTCCCTTAGCAACAAAATTGTGAGTAATCAGTATGTATGTACGACATTAAATTGTTAACCGTTTGGTGCTACTCATTTTTGCAGTTTTAGAATAAAAAAAAATTACTTTTCACTTGAGATATTAAGTCCAAATTTTCTAAGACTTCTGTAATTTTAAACATTTTTACGATTTGTGTATTTGATTATTTTTATTTTCGGAGAAATTATTAATTTAGTGTTTTATTTAATGTTATCTCTGATGGGGAAAGTGTATAACATTGTATTGTATTTGTGCTTCAAAATATTAGAATATTCCAAACTTTTACAAAGTACAGTGGTACTTTGCAATGCATTATGAAAGCGTTTCAGATCCTTTGATGCATACCCAACAAAAAACTACATAAGAAAGCAACGAAAAATCTTCGCATATTCTGTCTTCATTTCCACGAAGAAATAAAAGGGATATAATTAATTCCTTCTTTTAAAAATCATATTGTTATTATTATAACACTGTTTAATACTAAAATATAAATGTTGTGAAGTATATATTGCACATAATTGAAGCACTGCACACGATACTATACTTAATTTTTTTTTTTTTTTTTTTTTTTTTTTGCTATATAGATTAAAAGCAGTTTTTCAACATGGTCTAACGTGGCTTTGTTGAATAATCGATTTTATCCCTTCGCAAGGTTAGTCGATTTAATAGCATTTTTTTTTTCACCTCCACGGTGATCTTAACAATCTTCTTCGCTGCTTGACCCGTCTCATTAACTTTCCTAAAACTCATTGTTAACGAATTTACAAAACATTACATGAAAATTCAGAGTTACAGAGTAAATTGTTTAATGAACAGTAACAACAGGCGCACTGATGCCCATGACCAGTCGTAGCATTGTCTGGAAAGAGGTAAACAAGCGTATTGCGCGTAGTCGTGATTCATTAAACTCGAGTCATATTCCAAACAAATGTAAACAAACACCACATAAA